TTTTGCTAATTTCATTGTAATATTTTTCGTTCGGTGTGAAATTAATTTTAATTTCTTTAAAAATATAATTTTTAAGGAAATAATCGTGAACGTGACCTCTATACGAAACTAACACTCACAGATTTCGTACAACGTCTTCTCACTAAACGATGTGTCAGTTTTTATGGTAAAAATGACAAGTTTTTACTCCTAAGTCGTGAAAAAGGCTGTAGTGGTTTTATGGAAGTTGGAACTGATAAAGAAAAGCCACCACTAGTACTTTCAAATGTACTCAGTTTTGACGAAATTAAAGTAAGTGTATATATATGAATTTTCTGAACAAATAAAAAATGTTTCCATTTTCTTGGACTCAGTTATCTGCGCTCCTATCAGTTTCTTCACACTCTGAATTTATTAATGATGGTAATCGTAAAAATATGGGAATTATAGAAAAGGATAAAACTAAAATAGAGCGTGATGGTGTTGTTATTGGAATTATTGGTGCGCGCTTATCACGACGTGATGTAATGGAATTTCAAGATATTATCATATCCAAAACACAAAATACTAAAGAAAATGGTTATGGTGAAGCAATTGAAAATATTACTGACACACGTCCAGCAGATTACCGACGTATATGGAAGGAATTCTATGAGGAACCGGATTTTGTTTATACTAATATTGTTAAAGATGATCGAAGATTTGGGGATTCAGTAAGTAAAGATGACATTTTCGATAGCGTCTTAATGAAGAAACGTTATGCTATTTCATTTGATACACTACTCTTGGAAAGTGAAGCCAAAGCAGCCAAAGCAAATAAAAGTGCTTATATGCATGTTGTGGGTATTGGTTTGGGTGTTTGGAAAGTTTCTGGACAACAGGAGAAGATATTTTTAGACACATTTACCGAACGTTTAAAGGTTTTGATGGAAAAATTACCACATATTGCAGTGGTACATTTTTCATGGTTCCATCTGAATGAATGGGGCGAACTTAAGAATAATGGTTTTTTAGAATGTGAAAAACATCCTAATGGAGGTATTCAGACCTTTTTATCTAACCGTAATCCAGCTGACAAATTGGTATATAATTTCTTTTTCTAATTTTTTTTTATTTCTTTTAACGATTTTATTTAAATTTCACAGAGAACTCCTGAGCTAGAAAATATGTTAGTAATTGTTTCATATGCTTGGGATGGTAATGCTCTACCTGGTAACGAGTTTTGGATGGTATTATGTATATAGTATATAAATAAAAAATTATTTTTAAAGTATGTTTTGTTTTTAGAAAATGTTGAAATCTACTGGCGATTCGTCTACTGCCTGTAGCACATTGGTCACTGAACTGCACAATCCTTTCATCAATAAGGATATGGTCAATGGCAATAACTTACATATAGCATCTGAACACTTTGGCGTTTTGCATATTGCAGATTATGCAGCAAAAGTTTTAAATGAATAATGCAATATTTAATATATTTAACAATACGCAATATATGTGCAATATTTATATAAAATTGTTTTTTTTTTGTAATATAATATTTATTATTAATTTTATGTATTCCTAAATTATTTATTAAATAAATTTATCTTTGTGCAATAATTAGAAAAGAAAAAGATTTATGTAAACTAAATTATTTATAAAGACTATTTTAATACGAATTTTATTTTGAATAAACAATTTTTAATGTTTCAAAAATTTTATATTATTTTATTTATTTTATAACTTATTATAATGTATAAAAGTATATATGAATAAATAAACATAATCAAACCTTTGATACATTTTTTTTTCTTTTGTGTTATATTTTGCTTAGTTCTTGTTATTAGTTTTCCAAAAGACTAATCTTCTGGAAAACATAAAGTAAGGAACAAAAATAGATAACACGACATGCATAAGAGGTGCCATAGATATTCTGGAAAAAATAGAGTAAGAGTAGGAAGGTAGTGCAGATAAAGTGCCATTTAATGCCACAGGCGGCCAAAACTGTCTCAGAGTAGCTCTTATATTCAGTTATAAAATGTGTCCAGGGTTTCCTAAGAACAACGATATTTGGTCGTGAGAGACCAGCAATTCTTCCTAACAATAAATTCAGCAACTTATCAATACTTTTGCTGAATATGGTTTATGTCTCTTTATTAAACAAATTTCAAGATATTGCCATAAATAAAGACAAAGTTGTTAGTATATGGAATATAGCAAAAAAAAATAATACGAAATATTCATATATAACCAAAAATTTGTATATATTATATAATAATATATATAATAAAAATAATATAATATATGAATATAAATTATATATATGAAATTGCATTTTGACGTTAGTTATGACGGTAATGAATATTTTACTTAAAAGGAATTATTGTTTTTAATACAGAGGTTTCGAACACTAGTAGACCACAACAACCAAAAATTTTTATTTATTTATTATTTTCTTATTTATAGAATCTAATCTAAAAACGTAACAGGAAAGTCATGCTGATGTTACTTTAGGATTCATACAGCGAGACTATATATTTACTTTTAGTTTCTAAAAATTATTTACGATTATTTAAATACAAGAAATAATTCCAAAATCATTGACGATGGATATTTGGCAATACTCGAAACAGCTGTATGGTCAGCCATCATTCATGCCAGTACGTTCCCAGGGGTACATTGGGCCATAACGAACATTTTCCAACTGTCATAATTTTTTGCCAGGGTTTTAATTTCTCCAAAGGTTTTTCTTCTTGCTTGGATTTCTTTCTCTAGTATTCGCTTCCACGTTTGCTTGGGCCTATCAGGTCTTCTGCTTCCTTGAGGATTCCATGTTAATGCTTGTTTGCAGATTTCGTTTGGTGCCTACCTCAAAGTGTGCCCGATCCATTGCCATATACGCTTTTTGATTTCGTTTGCTATAGAAACTTGGCAGCATCTTGACCATAGTTCGGAATTTCTTATTTGTTATAGTCAGCCATAAATTCAATTAATTAAAATAATAAAAAAATGTTTGTTGTTATAGTTCACTACTGTTCGAAATCTCCCTGAAAAGTATATAGCATTTTATTTACAAGTTATATAAACAGCTAGTACTTTTTTTTTGTAATAAATTAATTTTAATAAAATTCTCTAAATAATTACAGGTAGTGAAATTGAAAAAAAATTGTATCAACAAATTGGGGTACCTGAACTGGTTCAAAGACTCTTAGCCCAACGTTGTGTTTGCTTTATAGGAGGTGGTGACAGCTTTTTATTGCTAAATAATATAAAAAGTTTCGATGGCTTTGAAGAAGTTGGTACAGTCAAGGAAAAGCTACCTTTAACTTTACAGAATGTATTGAGCTATGATGAAATCAAAGTACGAGTTTTAGCTTGTAAATTAAATAGATCTTATATTAATTTTAAATTCTTCAATAGCTCTCGGCACTTTTATCAGTTTCTTCACATTCCGAATTTATAAATAATGGAAATCGCAACAATAATGGTCGAGTCGAAATCGATAAATCAAAAATAGTGCCATGTGGTGTAATAATTGGTTTAATAGGTGCACGTTTCGAACGTAAAAATGTTATGGAATGGCAAGATGTTATGATCACGCCTGAACAAAATACTTTTCAAAATGGTTATGGTTTACCGATGAATGAAGCACCTAAAAATGGAGCAGAAAATTACAGACGCCTATGGAAAGAATTTTATGATGAAAAAGATTTTGAATATGAAAAAGCTGCAAAAATAACAGATAAACAACGATTCCATGATATGGAAGATATTGCTGGCATTTTTGACAATCTCATGCTAAAAAAACGCTATACAATTTCCTTTGATACTCTCTTACTAGACAGTAACAGTAGAGCAGCAGCAATCAATAAACAGGCTTACATACATGTAGTTGGAATCGGACTTGGAGTTTGGAAAGCTGTCGACTATCAGAATAAACTTTTTTTGAAAACATTTTCACAACGCTTAAAGGTGTTGATGCCAAAACTGTCAAATGTTGCTGCAGTACATTTTTCATGGTTCCACTTGGATGAGTTTGAGGACTTGAAAAATAATGGTTTCTTAAAATCGGAAGCTCATCCAAACGGTGGTATTAAAATTTTTCTTTCAGATCGTAATCCTGCTGCAAAATTGGTAACTTTTACTATTATATATATTTTGAAAGTTTTATTAATTTAAAAATATTTTTATATACATTCAGCCTTCCGAATTCACAAACTCGCTTTTGGTGGTATCGTACGCTTGGGATGGTAATGCTTTTCCTGGAAATGAATTTTGGATTGTAATAACTTTGTTTAATTCATATAGATTTTATATTAAAATCAGTGTTAATTTGTTTTAGAAAATGCTAAATAGTACCGGAGATGCTTCAACTGCTTGCAGTACTCTTATCACCGAACTGCACAATCCATTGATTAATTGTGAAATGGTTAATGGAGAAAATCTTCATATTGCATCAGAGGAATTTGGTATTATACATTTGGGAGAATATGCAAAAAAAATTTTAGAGCAAAAGTGAAAATTTTAATATATTTTTATAATATAAATTATGTTTAATATAAAAACACCATCTATTTTGATAAAAATATGTAACAAATTTTTGTATTTGCTTCACTATTTCAAAACTCTTTATTTGAATAAATACGTACAGAATTAATTAAAATGTAATTAATTTTTATTTTATTATAAAGATTTTAGTGAAAATATTGAAGTATAATTAATTAGTGGATGTCCGTTGTAGGACTTTTTAAACCCTTCAACGAAATCTTTCATTCGAATATGCACACACTGAAGTCTATAAACATTTGAACCGTTCCATAAGTTTAACAGGCGACAACATCAACTAATACAAATAATTTAACAGCAATCAAGGGATTATCTTCCTGAAAGTTTTTCCCGAAGATATCTACCGTATTGTCACAACATGCTGGAACGACCAACTGGTGATACAAAATTAGGTAGCACTTTGCTGGATGCCTTGTTGTACTTGAAGTGCAAGTGAAAAATGAACTAACTTTTAAAATCTTAAAAAAATTTATAAAGCTTATTGGAAAAAACCGCAACTAAGTCTTTTTACTGACCCAATACCCTCACTATTTTTGTTATATATCTATACATATGTCATTTTTTTCTATATGAAAGACTCTGGAACTTAAAAGAATAAAAAAAAGCATACAATTATGCTTTCATAACATTACACTTTCTCGTACCTTAAGACTTACAAAATTAGTATAAGTTCCTGGTCAAAGTACTAGCTAGTCTTGGTTTAACAGTATATCAGTATAGCATTTCATAGCAATACGGTAGACATCTCGACAAAAACTGTCAAGAACTGTCTTAATTGGGCTACTTATTATATGTGTGCACATAGACTTAAATTTGTAGTTGGCAGTATGAATATAAATAAAAAAAAGTTCCAAGACTTTAAAAAAAGCTAATAACAAAAAATTATGCTTTAATTACACTTTTAACCACCTTTCTCGAAAGGACCTGGCTTATCTTTATTGTTAGAACAGAAATATCGTATATCGTAAGAATATTGTCTTTTTACATAGAAGTCCCGTTGAAAAACTCTGCACAAATTAATGTCCTAATGTCCTAATGTCGTAAATATGTCCTATAAATACGCTACCATTGCAAAAATATATCTCCAGGAGTTATTGTGTGCAATGACTCTCAAATTTTAAAATTTAATATATTATGGATGGTCTAAAATTATTGTTTTACACAAAAATTATCCTTTCAATATTATATCTACTTTTATATCCAAAAAATGTCTGCGTTGTTGTTGATTTTTCATAATGAACATATCCAACAACCCTTAAAAGGTATTTTTTTACTTTCAAGTTTTAACGACAGATGTATGTCCTGCGGGCTCAAGTGTTTTGGTAACAATTTTATAGCAACCAACACTGGTAATTTTACGAAACTAAATATGTGGTTTTAACGAAATTAAATAAAGTTATATTTAAAAATAATTTATTTATTAATTATAATAATAAATACGTTTTTTTGCAGGTTAATTGGTCAATAGTTAAATACATTTTTAAAAAACATTTTGTTTTTAAAAAATTTTATTCTAACCAATAATTCGACTATAATCTATAGTCATCATAGTTATAGAGCATAGATTATAATCGAATAATCCATTAGAATAAAATCTTTTAAAAATAAAAAATTTTTTAAAAGGTTTATTATTTAACTATTTACCAATATTATTATTAACTATATACAAAATTATTATTAAAAATATTTGATCATTAAAACAATAAATTTATTAATTATATTAATTAAAGCTCATGAATACTTTAAATTAAATATGTGATTTTTTTAATATAGTATTTTAATTAATAAACTATTTTTTAAATGCCTTATATTTTAAATAAGAATATTAATTAGTACTCGATATTTTTAAATATATTTGGCATGCAGGGATATAATTTCTTGGTCGCAGATAGCAAAAAATTGTATTGGTGGATAGATTTTTAATATTAACTAAAATATATGGAATAAATCAGGACTTCAAATTGGAACCGAACCGAAACCCGAAATAAAACTTCTGAGCTAAAATTGGAATTTAACCGATTTATTTGTTTTGTTTTAAACCGGAACGAAAACCAGAACGAAAAAATTTAGAACTTTAAACCGGAACCGAAGCGAAAACAAAAAAAAAATATTTTTTTTGGAGTTATTTTTTCGGAGCGAAAACCAGAACCGGAACGATATATTTTTTTTTGTTTTGAACCGAAACGAAAACCAAAACGGAAAAAATTCCGGTTTGAAGCTCTAGGATAAAGTAACACATATGTATGTAAAAAGAAAAACTTTCAATATGGATATATACGAAACGAAAGAAAGTGATGAGGGATATGAAAAGAGCATGAGTATTGGTGTCAACTATAGGAAACAACTAGTCCATACTTTGTATTATGTTATAAATAATATCTTTTTTAAATGATATTAAAAAAAAAATTTGAAACAGTTGTAATCCCATAAATTGATTTTAATTTTAACTAACTATCAAATATTGGAGCCCGTTGCCTAAATTCAAATATGCACCTGCATTTATAAAACCTACAAAACGTTCTAGATAAATACAAACAAATTTTATAAAAAATTTTTTTTTATTTTAATCACCATAAGTCCAGTGGTAATATTATTTTATACTTTTATTACAATTACAATAATGATAAATAATTTAACTTTTACAATATAATTTTTAACCGACATTTTATAATTATTACGTTAACAATAGACATTGAACAAAATAAATATTAAAAACTTGAAGAAGACAAATTTCACAAAAATATAAATATGGACAATTTTTATTTCATTTAAAACAAATTGATAAAAAAACATTTATTTAAACATACTTCCAACAACGTTGCCTATTAAGGACAGACCTTGGTCGACGGCATAAGCCTTGAGGGGAGTACTTGAACCGTCATCAGTTTTAACTCTAATAAAATCTAACGCTTTCACAACTTCCACAAATGTACCCATTGGCTTATTGGGCGAGTTATATGATTGCGTTGGTATATCTATTATCAATTTAGAAAGTGGATAAGAATTATTTGTATTAACTGTGTTTACTTGATCGCACTTTTCCGAAATAATTTGCCATAGAAATGCTATTAATTCATTTTTCTTTTGATTTCTTTCCTTAGATAAATTTCCATTATCATTAATCACTAATTCCATCATATATTTCTGAAAATTTTCTTTAGTTATTTTATTTTTATAGAAGCTGGATCTGTGGTGCGAGTTATAATCTCTAATTGAGTCATCGATTTCAATGGGATATTTCGATACAGATTGCTGTAATGTTGAGCTTAAGCTTTTGTAGGGATTTGTTTCGTTGAATCCGTAGGAATTATTAAATGACAAAGTACTGCTTTCCTTGCTTTGATTTAAGGTTGAATTTGATCTCCTTGAAGGACTTTTTTCAATTATTGAAAAAGACGTATTGAAACTAGAATTTTCCCCTCTTGGACTAAAACTTGAATTTGAACTCTTTGTGGGAGTTTTTCGATTGTGTGATAAACTAGGAACCGAGAGGTGCTTATGAGACTGCTGTTTTGTACTGCTTGATCTTCTTTCCGTCATATTGATAAAATTTCACAATTTTTATATAAATTATTAACACTTTCTAATAGCGACGATAATGTTGATTGCTCCGATGCACTTAGAAATTACCGTATTAAAAAAAGTCTCAAGGTTATTACAGTATGTCTTCGAATTTTATAAAAAAACTTGGGTTCATTGGAAGCACAAAAAACAGTATAGTGTTGTAAAATAATTAATTATTAATTATATTATCCATCAAATATTATCCACCATATGCGGATTTTAATAAAAAAGTCTTAAAAAAAAATAAAATTTAGTAAAATTTATTTAAT